CCCTCCCTCCCTCCCTTTCCCTCCTCCCCCCCCCAATGCCAAAGGGTACACCATTAAGTCGGGCTGACTTAAGGGCTGTCAACATCAACCTCTGTGACATGTGCGTTATCCTGTCAGCCAATCAGAATAATATTGATGATACTTCGCTTCAGGACAAGGAATGCATCTTGGCGTCACTCAACATCAAATCTATGCAGTTTGATGACAGCATCGGGGTCTTGCAGGCTAATTCCCAAGGTAAGGACGGCCTGTAATACTTCTCTGCTGTGCTATGGGGGACAGGGGCTGGCAAGAGGGATATCCTTCACTCAGTAATTCAAAGGGGCTCACATCAGCCTGTCTGGCAGTGAAACCTGTGGTGGCCACAATGGCTTACAGAGGCGCATCTGTTCTTCCTGCCATCTGGAGATGGAGACCTGAACCCTGATATATGTCTCCCTTGCCCAGTTTGTTGCCTTTTGAAGCAATAAAAGAGTCTCTTTGCAAACAATCGGCTTTATGACCAGGGTCACTGCCGAAGTGCCAGAGCAATTCGAAGATGCCAGCTGCAGAATTCTCTTCCCCTCCCCTGTGAGTACTTTTCCATTGAAAACTTCAAAATGGGGGTGTTAAGCTTTGCAACAGTTAGGGTCACATCCAAGACTCTGCTGACCCAAGGGTGGAGATCTCTAAAGCGTAGGGATGGGGTCGACACATGAAGTCAGGTAGCAAGGAGTGATGCTTGCTGGCCTGTGCATTTTCCTGTAGGAGGCCCAGAGGCCTTAAAGGACACACAGCTGCCTTTTCTCTTGGCCCCAGTCTTCCCTGTCATTTGCTCTGGGATCCTGGACAGGTGGTTTCAGGTAAAGATGCCATTTTTGTAGTCTCCGGCAATTGGCATAGCAAGTAGCCCCATAATGAGTGGCCTTGGAAATCAGCAAGGATAGGAGATGAAATATTTCCCTCTGAATGGCAGCTCTATGTGGGTCATGCAGGGCCTACTGGATGGGTATGGTTGACAGCTGAATGGGGGGCCCTTACTCCCATCATTCCAAGCCCCCAAGGACTGCATGTGCTGGGGTAGAAAGGTCCTTATTGGTGGCTGGGTACAGCTCCATATACAGGCCTTTCTGGAAACTCAACTGGATGGTGGAGCTAAGACCTTGGAGCTCTCCGATCTTTGAGCAACCCAGCATTACTATCCACTTCTAGCTTCTGCTCAGTGTTGTCGCAGAACCAAAACACCACAGTACCTGAGAAACCTCTCTGGTGCAGGTTCTCTTCTTTGCGCTTTCTCTAGGGGAGAGCTGGCCAGGGAAAGAGGAGTGCTGAGGTGGGATGAGGAAGTGAAAGAGAAGGAGAGGCCTTAATACTTTGCAGTGGGACCCTGAGCAGCTGGGAAATTCAAAGCCACTCTTGGAGGAGTGTCCTGAGAGTCAGTGGCCTTGCTGCTGGGCACTGGGTGAAGAGGCAGGGCCTTCCCCTGGGGTCTTGAGAGTCACAGCAGCTTTAGGTCAAGCTGGAATACCACCCATTTTGCTCTTGCCTGTGGAGTGGTGAATCAGGGCCTCCTTGACTTGGGTTTCTGCAACTCTTCTGAAGGCTGGATCAGTCTCTAACTCTTGCTGAGTCATTTCCAGCTTCCATCTTTTTCTCACATAACCTTGCCAGGGGCCTAATTTTGATCTCTCCATTCCACCATCCTGCCTGATACTCCCCAATGTAAAACTTGGCTCACCTGTGTGAGACAGCAACATGCCAAGGCCTTAAGAGACACCCTGAGTTCTGCCGGGCTGCACACACAGGATATAGAACTTGCCTCCTGCCCAGCTTGTCTGGGAGCACTGGGGAGAAAGGATGTGAAAAGACAATAGACTGACCTTCCTGAGGGTGAATGAAGCTAGCTGGTATGTGGTATCTGCCTTTAAGCCCCTGCTCTTTAATTTGTCTTCCTCACCTTCACCCTGGTGTGAGCATCACCTGGGGCAGCTTGTTGGAGATGCATCTTCTCGTGGCCCATCTCACACTACCTGTCAGATCTGCATTCTAATGAGATCCCTGGGTGACTGGTACAAGCTGCTCTAAAGCTGTTGAAATCTTCACACTAACAAACCCAGTGCACTGAACGTGTTGAACAGCTCGTTCCGACATGCCTCCTGTCCTGGGGAGGGGGATGGCAAGGGAACTGGAAACATTTGAAAGGAGCAGTTGTCCCTGTGGGTAGAGATGCTGAGAACAGAAAAAGGCAGGGAAACCTTTCCTTTCCCCTGCCCGTCTGTGTCCCCAATGCCTGCAGATGTATGACAGTGCCCCAGTGTGTAGTTACATGTGCACTTGACACAGGCGTTCCACCCGTCCAGCTCCTTTAAACTTCGTCCTACCTCGAATTCTGTATGATGTCCATACTGACAAAATGCCCCCTTTCCCCTGCGCCCAAAGGCCTTGATATTAAGAAAATCAGGAATAAGCGAAGAGAGTAAGTTTTAGCAAGAGATATGGAGGGAGAAGCGACATTCCTTTTTCTCTCGGCAGAAGGAAGGGGTATCTTTCTTTTGTGTGTGAATGTGCACATGCGGTGGCAGTCTGATGTTTGACCCTCAGCTGTTTGTGTATTGAAGTGCTAACCTTGGATGGGATGGTCTGGAAAGGTGAGAACTTGAGGAGGTGACTAGGTCATGAAGACAGTGCTCTTGAAAGGGATTGGTACCTGTATAAGAGAGACCTTAGAAAGACCCAGCATTCCCACTGCCATGGGGAGAGGAAGGAAGAACGCACCATTTATGAATCAGAAAGCCTTGACTGGGGATGTCTCAGCATCCTGAATAGCGAGAAGGGGCTCTCTGTTGTCAATGTCCAACAGTTACCGTCCAGTGTTTGTTCTAGTGGCCTGAATGGCTGAAGGTACATCAAGAGCAGAGAAAGGCAAAGGATGAGGTGCAGGCCTGGCAGGCAGCATTTCTCTGAGCCTTGGGTCAACAGCAGAACTGAGCAGGTGGCTTGTAGCAGCCAGCAGTCAGCTCTCCCAAGGACACAGTATGGAAACTCTTGGTCTCCAACCTTTATCCCACTTTTCTTTTTCACTCTGTCTCCTCCTAGACTGTCATTGGGCTCTGCATCACTTCTGGTATCACTCTGATATCCCACTGATGATGGTCCAATGGTGGTTCACAACACCAAAAAGTGGCTCTTCCTCACTGCTTACCTCTAGAGCTCACCCTGTACTGTTCTTTGAGTTCCTTTTAGCCTTGCACTAGATAGGGGAGCTGAATGTCCCTGCTGTTTCAGCTCTCTAAGACCTCTTTGACTAGCTGGTGTTCCCAGTGGCCTCAGACACTTGCTTCTCCATCCAGGTATTTGGCAGGTCCACACTCCAAGGGAGGCTGGAATAACAGGCAACAAAGGCATGACGTTGTTCTTTGCATTTGGGAAGCATATCTTACATCCTCCGAGTGAAAACCATAGAGATTTCTAGCACCTGCCAGGCCAGGTTCATCATGATGTGTCCTGTGGTCCTTGACAAAACCCCACAACTACCTCAACCCAGGCATGAGCCATGTTTTCATTTTTCCAGAACCCAGCTGGGTCCAGAAATTGTTGTGCTCGTGTGGCAGCGTGCTCTTGTAACCATGTGGGAAGTTGTTCTAAAGTGCTACAATTGAACAAGAAAAGGGGCTATAACATTGAGGAACTCCAGCCTCCATGGGGAGAATTGGTGTCTGTGCACTTGCCAGGGCGTACTATCTGGTCTCCTCTTTTTTTTTTTTCTATCTTCCCTTTCAGTGTCGCTTCTCTAGCCCACATGGTGTCAGAACTGACCCAGCTTAGGGATTCTGGACCAGACACTTTCTGAAAAGAGGAGATGTGATGGCTGGTTGTCACAAACAATTACAGCGAAAGGTGGCGTATTCCATGTGGGAGGGTAGATCCGACATGACATTTGGGTCTATGAGATGCAGTTTTAATATACAGCAGGCAAAACTGCAGTGACAATTACATAAAGCAGGTGAAGCTGCTTCTTGCTGGTCAGCAAACATCAGCTCAGAACCACTTTACAGCTCTTTACCAGCAACTAAGTGCCTTTATTTACAGAGTGCCTGTCACTTCCCTTTGGTTGGAGAGCTGGTGTATTATTTAGCACGCATTTATCTGGGGAAAACACTTCAATTTAAATCAGCTGGTACAATAGTGCCTCTCGCCAGCCAGTTTCCCGTGGTTCTAAAAGACAAGAAAGGACTCTGCTCTTCCCAAGAGTGCGTTCAGGGTGCGTTCTCAGAGGGCCTCTGGAATCAGTACCTAAAAAGACTTGCTCCTTTTCTGTTTTGTTTTGTTTTAAGTATAAAAATGTGAAATGAGCATCTTAGACCTAATTTTTGCTTCTGGTCAAGGCTTCTCTTAAGGAAAAGAAAGGACTAAGTATGTGTCCCCCGTGCACCAGTCACTCCACAGAAAAACAAAAAATGGCTTGGATTCAGCCTCTCACTAGTGACAAGGAGCTCAGTTCGTGGAGGACAATGACAGTACAAGTCAAGGAGGACCAGGTTAGCAAGAGAGGAACACAGAGTGGAGGGGGAGCATTTGTCCCTATCCCCATGTCTTCAGAAGTCTTCCCAAAGGAGCAGACAGCCGGGCATGCGTCGAACGCATGTGGCTGTACAGCTCTCGCGGAAGACCTGGTGTGCACGCGATGGAGGAACTGAACGTTCCCTCTTATTCCATTTTAATGAAGTTTAACTTCAGCAGTAGCCACTGCTCTTCTTATTGCTATGACAAAGTATCAGACAAAAAGCAACTGCAAGAAGGAAGGGGTTGTTTGGGCTTATGGTTTGTGGGGAGATACTCCATTATGGTCAGGAAGGCATGGCGGCAGGAACAGGAGGCCAGTGGGTCATGTTGTACCTGCAATCCAGAAACAGAGAGTGAACAGAAAGAGTGAAGACTTAGAGAAAAACCCTAAGGCCCACCCCCAGTGATCTTCCCCCAGCAAGGCTTTACCTCCTAATGGTCCCACCATCAGGGGACAAGTGAATAAACACATGAGCCTAAGGGATGAGGGATGGTTCATTTCACCTTTAAACTATAAGAAATGGTTCTGTGTGGTTAGTGGCTATGTAACTGGGCTGCTTAGCCTGAGAAGGTAGCTTCATGTTTTGCTAAGGGTTTGGATTGGGAGAAGTCATCAAAGGTTTGACATATCAGGGCAATTATAAATCCATCTTTGAAAAAAACACAGCTTGACCATGGCTAAAGGTGGGAAGTGA